GTGCTGTACTGGTTCCATTGCAGCTCTTTGAACTGGGACTATTTAAAGCTTTAGTGGAAAATAATCACTCCTTGTGAGTTGCAGAAAAACACGAGAGGCCCTAAGCCGAGTGATTTATCCAGGATTCTCATGACTCTGGACAGCTTTATATAACTACCAGCAGTGGTGTGCTCTTTCCCATATAGCAAGGGTCAGGAGGCCACCTCCTTAGCTCATGAGACCTCCATCCCACTGTTGGGAGATCTGAGGGGAGAGGAGAACTGTACATATGCATCAATGTAGCTCCTGGTGACCCCCACCCACTGCACTCTACGACCAGCAACTGAGCCCCACTTCTTCCCCTGCACTGACAGGACAAGCGCTTCCTCTGTAAGGGAACCCCCCCCACCCCCTCCCAGAGCCAGTCCTGCAGCCCTGCCGTCAGTGTGCTGCACACCAGCAGCCTGAGGCACAGGGAGCGCGTGGGATGAAGGGATGAGAGGGCAGCTCAAAGCAGGAAGCATGAAAAAGCTCAAAGCACACAGGCAAGAGGCCCCTCCCTGACCTCTGCTCACGCGCGCGTGCACACACGCACACGCACGCACACGCACACACACGCGTGTGCACACACACACACTGGTTGTGAGAGCTTTTCAGCAGAGGCTTTGGACCTGATGATGATCTGACAAGATGTCCCCTGCTGGCACCAGGGGTGTGGTGCGCATCCGGTTAAGGAACAGGACCGGATGTTTCCAGGTGAAGCACCACGGGGTTTGTTAGAAGCAGGTTCTGGTTACAAATTTAACTTTGAAAGATTCAAACAATGAATTGATTTGAAACATTAAAATTTAATTGTGGACATCTAATAAGGCCACAATTAGTTTAGTAAAGAAATTAATTTGGTGAGAAATAAACATTTTAAAGTTGCACCAACATGAAGAAACTTTGGTTCTGATGTCTTTGGGTTCTGTTAAAACAGGGTCGTGACCCGTGGCCCGTTTACAGCCCCCAGAGGGATTGTGTCTGACTGCAGCTTGAAAGTGTTAAGGCATTGATCTGCTGGTGTTCATCAACCTGAACGCGGGAAATCGTGACCGTATCCTTTTATTTTATTTGCTGAAAATCAACAAAAACTGCATTTAAAGCATTGTTGAGCAGATGAGGATAAAGATAAAACCCAGTTTTTAAATAAAAACAAGCGAGTGTGGTCTCTGGGAACTTATAAGTAAAGTTTGGGTTCATGGCTGATGGAAAAGCCTCAGTTTGGAGAATTTTGACCAGATTGATGAGCTAACGGCTAGTCTGAGGACAGCGAGGGATTGCTGTGGTCTGAATATGTCTGTCACCTTTAAACTGCTGTCAAACTTTCACATGTGATCGATTTCTGACTAGCTTCTGCTTTCGGCTAAAACGTCTCTGTGCCAGATTCAGTTCCACCGTGACACATGACCCCAGTTTTAGCGTCACACAGATGAAGTTGTCCGACGTGCAAGCTCCTCCTGGCCCTGAGAGTCCTCTCCATTATTCATGAGGGCCCGGGTTGGACCCTGGGAACAAGCTGAACGAGGTGCTGTGTCAAAACGTCACACTGAGCTCTGCCTCCAACTACACTGTTGACAGACACCAGCACAAAAGAGCTGAAAGGGGTCCCGCTCCGTTCTCACACACACCGAAGAATGAGTCAGTGTGCTGCCGCTCAGAGCTGTGTTTGTACAGCAGCTACGGCTTTTGTTCCTGGCCTCTGTTCCCCCATCAATGGGGCTGAAGTGTTGGTGAAAACCAGAAGGAAGGGACTCCTCTGCGGATGCCAGTGAGAGTCCATGTTCATCAGCCGGGCTCGGAGCCTGTTGGAAAGCACCTGCGTGTACACGGAGGAGAGCAACAAGCAGTCCGCTCATCCCACCATGCATCGCTGTTTGACCGGTGCATGAATGAAACCGTGAGCATCAATCGTCCTGCTGGTCCTGCCCCGTTTGGTTCTTTTGCTTCTAAAGCTGTGGAACATTTTAAACCACAAAGAGAGTTTTACTCCAGCATAATGAGCCAAAGTGTCGGTGCAGCCACCTCAGTGATGAGGTGGCGAGGAACGCCGTCGCCGGGTGTTTGTCTGAATCACGAGTCTTCCTCTCTTCATTTGCATCTATAAAGATTTTAGTTAATCAAACGGAAAAGACTTCTGTAACTACCATACCACCTTATCTGTAGAGCGCTTTTAACACGGCAGTACAACCGACCAAAGCGCTGCACACAAAAACAAATAAAAGCACGAGCTAAAAGAGTTGCGTCAATCATATGAAGATAAGAAACTAAAACCAAGAGAACAAGTAAAACCAGAATATAAAAACACACATTTAAAATCAAACAAGGTGGAAAACTAGGGACGAGTTCATGCTTTATGGTATGGGAGTTGAAGGCCAGGGAGAAGTCGTGTGTTTTCAGGTGTGATTTAAAAACGCGGGGTGCTTTAGGAGGAGCTGATCTTCAGACAGGAGCACCAGGAGGGTGGTAGTGATGGAGTTCATACAGATAGGGAGGTGCCTTTTGGTTCTTTTGACTGATTTCTCGCATTAAAAAGTCTAGAAACATGCAGGTTTTAAGAATAAAAGTTGTTTTATTTAGTTTAATCAATATTAAAGTGGTTTAATCATCACATGCGTTGACCAAAACGATATCTGCTTTACTATCAGTGCTCTTTTAAAAAGACACATTATTCCAGTAAGAATTCTCAGTAGTGAGTTTTTAATTAAAACCCAAATAAGTTCATTTAAAAATACACAAATAAACTCTAATCCAGTCCAAAACTGACTTCTGTCTGTATTTTTAATCCTAAATCACCAGAAAGTTGACATGTGTGACAACTTTATCCTTGTTTTTCTTTGAGTAAAATTCAAAATGTTAAACACAATTGTTGTATAACATGAAATATTGAACTTTACTATCATTAGTTTTATATTATTGTTGTAGTTGTTATCATAATAATTATAATTGTTGTTGTTATTATTATTATAATCATTAATATTAGTAGTAGTATGGTTGTTGTTATAATTTATATTACTGTGATGACTATTATATTGTTATTATTATTATTATTACTAATATTGTTATAAATGTAATTGTTGTTAATATAGTTACTATCATTATTGTTATAATAATAATAATAACAATAAGAATTATTATTATTGTTATTATTATTTTATTATTATTACCAATATTATTATAAATTTAATTGTTGTTAATATAGTTTTTATTATTGTTATAATTATTTATATTATCATTATTGTTATAATTATTTATATTGTTATTAATAATAATAAACACATTTTTAAGTCTGATTTAACTGCGGGTACACAGGCCACCACTAGAGGGCAGTGTGTTAGTCTTTTCCCTACTTTCTTATGTTTCAGCACCAGCCAGTTACAGATATCAATTACAAATATGAATTGCTGCGTTTCTGTAACACATATCTAAGAAAGGAAAAATAAATGAAGGCCGTGTAATTGCATAAAGTTTACTTCTAAGTGTGTACCGCAGCTTGAATGGGACTGCCTTTCACATGGCGCCATCTGCTGGTCATGATTAGTAATCATCGCTTTGTGCAGATTTTTGCTGGAACAGGAAATCTGGTGTGATTTATTGTAAAACTGCAGATTTGTTTTAAACGAAGCAAAAGTTATTTAAGACTTTAAAGGAGTAAATAAAAAGTGAACTGCATTAGACCTGAAATAATTTAATGTTTTAAATAACGTGAACAAGCGTCATTGTCCCTGAAAATGAAAATGTTTGTTATTTTAATGACTGGTCAAAAATATAATAATAATAATAATAATAATAGCTGTGATATGAAAACATTACAAAAGTCAGAAGCAGAGACTTTGATGACTTAAAGAGGGTAAGCCAGTCTCAAACTCACTTAAAAGAATCTCTTACAAGAACACGCCCCTAATCTGCTCGTTGCCACGACAACGGCAGCACCTGCTCATGATTGGTAGCTCTGAGAGCTGCACGTGGAGCTCCGGCTTCAAATAGCCTAAATTTGCAAAGCGTCGTGATCCCCCATCTGAGCTTCAGCCGTGGTCTGTGGAGGAGCCCGAGCTTGTTCTGGTCATCATGGTGGAGCAGTTTGTAGGAACCTGGACTCTAGTCTCCAGCGACAACTTTGATGAGTACATGAAGGCAGTGGGTAGGTTCAGATGCTCGTCTGATTGGTTACAATGGCTTTTAATTAGGAATGAGTGTTAACTGATGTGAACATGTTGCGTCTTAATTAAAACTGTTTTTATTGAAGGGATGAGCTTTGCCACTCGCCAAATGGGCAACTTGGCTAAACCTAAGCTAGTGATCAGCCTTGCAGCTGATGGGGTCATCACGATGAAGGCTGAGAGTACTCTGAAGACAGCAGAGGTCAAGTTTAAGCTGAATGAAGAGGTGGATGAGACGACAGCAGATGGACGCAAAGCCAAGGTCAGCACTCTGCATCAACTTCATCTTTGCACCTTTTAAAGTTTGATAACTTTCTAACCTAAGCTGCTTTACCTGAAGTCCATCTTCACTCTGGAGAACGGTAAGCTCATGCAGAAACAGTCCTGGGATGGGAAGATGACCACGCTGGAACGGGAGATCCAAGATGGGAAGCTCACTGCTGTGAGTAAACCGTCACCCTCTCTAGGTGATGGCCCTCAGCACCATGACTGTTCCATCTTGAATAATGAAACTTTTTTTTTTAATGCAGAAATGTGTCATGGACGACGTGGTCGCTGTGAGGACGTACGAGAAAGCGGCATAAGAAAAATGCACTGAGCTGTTGAACATGAAAATAAAACTTGAACCATGAGGTTTCTGTTCGTTTATTTATCAAATGTATTTTTGTCTGAAGTGGAGCTTTGGCAGCTTAAATGTATTATAATGTTTGGGCTTCGTCCACGATTCCCGAGAATCTGCCCGTTGTTGGCGGTTTATGAACGACATGCTGACGACCAGTGAAGTGTGGTAATTTGCTGCTGAAAGGGATCCAGTTGGAGGCGTTTCAAACATTGCCCAAGTGCACAAAGGCTTTCTGTTGAAGCACACAACATGAGGGCCTTATGACATGGATTTGAGTGAATTGGGGGGGCAGGCCCAGTTCCTGTTGGAGGTTTAGGGCTGTGACCCCCGGTTTGTGGGAAGCCTCTTATCCACGATGCACAGACGCAGCTTAGAGCAGGTTTGTGGAATTAGTCTCGATTAGGGTTCTTTGTAGAATTGGGTCAAACATGAATCAACGTTAGCAGCCAGGTGGTCTGAATCAGAGGGATGCATTTAAGTCTTTCATGTTCAGCACCGATGGAGCAGAGACCGTTGACTTATTTCCAACTAAAACAATGAACGGGGGATTACGTTTGAGTCGGTGCAGACTTGCTTTGAAATGGCTTTATCCATAAATACAATCACTGCCTCAGCTCTTGTATTCTAAACCATTGTGGTCATGAATGAACCCATGTCTTATTTTAAAATTCAGCCATAAGGTTCCAGGTTCTTATAAGGATAAATGATTTATGTGAGGACTAGTTTTATACGTATGTAAATAATCCATCCAAACTTGTCCACTAATCCTGACTAAATCAGTCACAGGAAATCACTGAACGTTTATGCAGAACTTCCTGCCTACAGACAACATGGCTGCAGGAATAATCTCCTCATTCAAATCCAATAGTCTTAAGGTGAATCAAAAGGCTGTTCCTCCCATATTTTCAGCGCAGGTAAATAAGCGTAAACAAGTAAAGGTTTACCAAGTTAAAAGAACGACATGCTGAGGTTAGATTTTGCAGAATCTAGAGGGAGTATAAATCCCAAGATGGGAACACCTAAACACCTAAAAAGCCCTGGATCATGACACCAACTTGTCTTTTTGTTGTACGTTAGTGGAGAACTTGAAGAGCTTGCTGGACAAGAGTCACTGTGTCGGAGCTGTATTTTTAGATCTGAAGAAGGCGTTCGACTCCGTAAACCATCAGATGTTGTTGTCCAGATTGACTCAGTTTAATATCTCCAGTCAGGCGCTTCAGTGGTTTGCCTCATATCTCTCACACAGGAAACAGTTTGTGGTGTGGGATGGGGTTAAATCTCCATATTTAGACTGTGATACAGGAGTTCGTCAAGGATCTGTTCTTGGGCATTTATTGTTCTCTCTTTTTATTAATAACTTACCTGAAGTCTGTCCAGACATATTTGCTCAAATGTATGCGGATGATGCAGTTATATATACGCAAGCAAACAGTGTCCAGCAGGTGGCAAAAGATCTTACAGCTGCTTTAGCATTAATGCTTAGCTGGCTGGAGGACTCATGCCTAATGTTGAACACCTCAAAAACTGTCTGCATGTATATTTCAAAACGCCCCTTAAACTAGAAGCAGTCAAATATATTCCTGGATGGAGTAGAGCTTGATCTAGCACCAGAATTTAAATATCTTGGGGTAATTCTAGACCCAACATTATCCTTCAAGAGTCATATAAATAAAGTGTCCCAGGTACTTAAATTTAATAATCTAAATTTTACTCATATACGTAATAATCTAAATATGAATGTTGCAAAAACTTATTTTTACTCGATGATCATCTCTCATACGGACTATTGTTTGACATCCTGGTCACTTGCTTGTCCAACAACACTTAAAACTAGTGCAAACATTTATAAAAGTTTAAAATTACTTGACAAAAACCGACTTCCCACCACCATTGTCATGTGTTAAAAAACATAAATTACTGAACTTCACTAACTTAATGAAACTTAAAAGAGTCTGTTTAATATATAAAGTCTTACACTCCCTTGCTCCACCACCACTAAAGCAGTTCATTAGGCATAAAGAAAGCTCAAACAGGACTACACGAGCTACAATTCGAGGAGAAATGTTTATACCACATAGACAGACATCTTTTGGGAAGAACGTCCTCTGTCAAGGGTGGCCATCTGTGGAACAGTCTTCCTCAACCCATTAGAGAATGCTCGACTCAAGGCAAAGGTTAAAAACTGGTTATGGACAAATCAAGTGTGTGATCATGTATGAGTTGTATAGTTTTAATGTTTCATTTGTGAATAGAATGGTGTGTATGTGTAAGTTTGGTGAAGGAGTTTTTATTATGAATGAATGATGAATTTTTATGAATTATTATGTCTTTTTATGTCAACAGATGGAAATTAGAATTTTTGGCTATAATCTGGCATGTTTACATTCATGTAAGCTGCTTTATGTTCATTAACATGCACTGTCCAAAATAAACAAATAAATAAAGATAATGCGGTCAAACTGAAACTGTAACAGCGAAATCCTGACCTCCTGTGGCCGTGTCTAGTAGTGCAGCTACTGATTGGACTGTACCACTATGTGCTGAAAAGCGGGGGAGGGGCTGAAGTTCTCCTGCTAAATAAATGCTTTATTAAAAGTTTTCACCTTATAAGCTTTTGTATATCAGCTGTTAACCTCTCATCAAATATGTATAATCGATAACTATTTGTTTTCACTTCTGTTTAGCTTCTTTCTAAATGATTTGGCATCAATGACGTTTTACGACGTTACGGTGCTTGTAAACATGGCGGACATGAACAACAAAGCTGTGGAAGTGGATGAAGGAGAAAATAAACCTTCTGGTAAAGATGTAATCCGTGGTTCAGACAACCAGAAGAAACCTTCCGCTGACGGTGGAACCACAGCGGAGTACTGCGAGAAGCTGCAGACATGGATGTGGCAGTACTACGCTGGCTATGTGAACTGGCAGAGCTGGCTAGCGGCGTCGGCGGTGTCCTGCCCTTATTTACAGCCACCCAGCGGAACCCCCACGGCTGGTGACTGGCATGCCGGCCCACTCGGGCTTCCGTTGTTGCCGTATCCACCTGCGGTCAGCCGAGCGGGTGAAGCCCCCGTCGGCGCTGCCGCGCAGCAGCACCAACCGCCGCCTCAAGCTAACGGAAACGCGCAGAGACCGGGTAAACGCTGCAGCTGGTTCATGTCCAAACGTTCACTTGTGACCACACACCCAAACATGCTCTTCGTTTAATAAAAAGTAGGAGTTACGGTACGGTTCACTACGGGCTGGGATAAGACTGAAAGCTTTTCAGAAGGCCAAATGTATTATTTTATAGTTTGTGACCTGAACGCAACACGAGTAGTGAGTGGCTTTTGCGGCCGGGTTATGACGTCACACCAGGACAGCGATGAATGAAACTTGTGAAGTGAAATAAAGACAAACCGTTGATGAGACATCTAAAGTGTTCACTAAAGCCACGTTTAGCACCTTCTGGAACATTCTGTCGTCGACTCTCTTGTTTTTATTCAGGTTAAACTCCAATTATGACTCAGATGATGACTGAATCAGACCGCGTTGACACTAGTAAGGTTAATGTGACGTTTGTGTCTCACTTTTGGGAAAATAAACCTTGAACGTTTGGTTTCTCAGCCTCTGAAGGACTAAAACTTACCGCTGTGTCTCGCTTCCACCAGGGCGGGAGTACAGCATCCCCTCTCCTCTCCAGAGACTCATGGCGGAGATGGTGGACTTCTTCATCTTGTTTTTCATCAAAGCTTCTATAATCATCAGTATTATGCATCTGAGTGGAATCAAGTGGGTTAATTAGATTTGGTGTAAACAGCGTTGTCATGACAACAGAAACACCATGACCATAACATTTGGATTTTTTTGTCTTTTCCATTGTTTTTAGGGATGTTTCCAAGTTTGCCATGCATTTGATCGTGGAGGAGATCGACGAGGACACGTCGATGGAGGAGCTGCAGAAGATGATGCTTGTTGCTCTAGTGTACCGGATCTTGGTGTGTTTTTATGAGGTGAGGCTCACTGCCGGTTTAGACTCAAGTCTGTGTTTTAAACGTTTTAGGAAGACTCGAGGTGAACTTTCACGCTTTTCTCCTGTCAGATTGTGTGCATCTGGGGAGCAGGAGGTGCCACGCCAGGGAAGTTTCTCCTCGGACTCAGAGTCGTTACGTGTGACTCGTCGGTTCTGGTTCAGCCCAACAGGGTGCTCGTGGTGCCAGCCACTAACGTCTCTCTCTCTGCGTGAGTGGCTCGTTTATGTTTCAGGGAGCTGTCTAAGGAGGCGGTTGGGAAGACTGAACTCTTGTTTCTGTCCGTCCTTCCAGATCAACTGTCCGGGCTTTGAATAAGAACTTCTCCATAGCCTTCTTCTTCCCAGCCTTCATCACACTCCTCTTCTTCCAGCACAACAGGACTGTGTATGATATGGTTGCCGGTACCATCGTTGTCAAGCGATCCAGAGCCAGATGACGCAGAACGGGACGCGTAAAATGACTCTGATGTTTTAGTGAAGCGGCTCCCAGAGCCACTGCTGTGTTCACGCGTCGCAGCAGAGTTCAGGCGTTTGCTGGGAGCCCGCATCCGTAAGAACTGCTTCCGTTCATCGTGACCAGCACTGTTTTTCTGCATGCATGTCCAGATAATGTTTCCGGTGTCTCCTCCTGGACCAACAGGAAGGATGATGGGGATTTAGCCCGTTTTCGGCACAAGTTGCACCTTCACTTCTGTGTGAGGCGAAGGGCGAGTGCCGCCCGCTGCTCAGTATTTAAGCCGCTGATGATTTCGTATTTCACCCCCAGTATCTGGCCGTTTCCGCCGGTCTCCAAAGCGGACGAGAGGTCGTGTAAAATGCAAACACGAAAAGTTCTCTTCTTGGAAAGGTGTGCATAGATTTAGGTTTGATTTGATCCGCCCTGTTTAAGGCTGAGATGGAGGCACATTTAAAGGTTTTTCTCTGTAAGCCGAGGTGTATCGGACGCTAAATGTTAACCGTTTATGTATTTCATTAGCATTTCTGAATGTTCTCTGAATAAAACCAGGCCTGTGGCTCTGAAAGCATGAACTCTTGTGCATTTATACTTTGTGTGAGTTACACGGGCCACGTGCACTAAAGCAGCACACGTATGGTTGGTTATGTGAGGAATTCTGTTTCCACGTGTTTTCTTCTCACATTCATGTTTTATTTGTGTTTCTAGATAAAAGATTTCCAACGTGCTCTTAGCTTATCGGTTTTGGTTCAGGTCCTGCAGATTGCAGCCTTTCTCCTATGAGTCTAGAGATGTTCTCCACCTTAAACAGCTAAAGCAGCAGGACATCTTTAACTGTCCCACTCATCCTTCTAACTGGGAGTCTAGTCGCCGACTGGTTCTGGGATGCTGTAGCTGTTTGTGTCTCAGCGTCTTTGTTATTTGCTGCTATGAAAATGGACACAAATGTTTAAAGAGACAAAAATCATTTAAAATCATAGCTGTTCTCATGTTACACACGTCTCATGTGAATCAGGGCTGTAAGTACTTCAGACTGACGCTCTATACTCTCTCAGCAGTTATGAATCATACCTCATTAACAGTTTTTGAACTCTTAGCCGGTTGCTGTTTAAAGAGCAAGTCACCCCCAAATCTACTTTATTCCTGAAAAACTAAATGCGTGTCTAATCGTGCTGCAGACACGTGTAGTCAATAGTTTTGCACTTTAATGCATTTTGATTAGGATTTTGATCTCCTGATAATAACTTTTTGCTTTCCTTGATATCGAATGTGCTACTGCTAGTTTACCCGTTTAATTATAGATCCACTAGGATAAATACAATAAAGTTTATCTCTCAGCAAATAGAATATTTACTAAGAAATCACAATGTAACTATAGAAACACTACTTGGTGTGTGTGCACGTGTGTGTGTGTCTTTGTCTGCCTGCTCTATCTTCTCGATCCCCAGTGAGTCGTGGAGGATGGCTGCTTATACTGAGCCAGGATTCTCTGGAGGTTTCTTCCTGTTAAAAGGGAGTTTTCCTCTCCACTGTCGCTGCATGCTTGCTTAGTATGAGGATTGCTGTAAAGACTCTGACACTAGTCAGTGACTTGATGCGACCTGCTGGGTTCCTTATATAGGAAACATTATTTCGTATTGGCTTAATGAACTGACCTGAATTGGAATGTTTATTATGTGAAGTGCCTTGAGACGACTCTGGTCGTGATTTGGCGCTTTATAAATAAACTTGAATTGAATTGAATGGAATTAAGCTTTTAATGTTCTGCCTAAAACTGTCAGTGTTGTGCCATTGTCAGGTAAAAACTGCACTGCAGTTGAACTTAAATCTGCCATCGCTATTGGCTAAGAGGTACCCTAGAACGTTAGCTGGTACCATATGATGTCACAATGTCGTTGTGAGCCTGTGTGTTTGTTAGTGGCTCCGCCCCCTCGGTCTGCCAGGCGACAGAATTTGTTGCATTTTTTAAACAGGAAGTGGGAGCGGAGTAAGAATCTGGTAGGGGGTGACTTGCTCTTTAAGCACGAATTCTTTTTGAATAAGCAAAAGATAATTTGGTCAAAACAAAAATGGCTGCTTGCAGGTCTAAGTTTATAAATCACGACCTTCAGCTGCAGGTTCTGACACGTTAAACTGATCTCACAATGCAGAAGGAATCAGAGTTACTAACAGGTGTCCTAACCTACGAAGGTCCTCTCGGGTTTGTCCAGGTTGGACATGAATGCTCCGTTTTCGTCTCCGCTGAAAGGAGTTATGTTTGTGACCGCGTCCCACGCTGGATGCCAAAAGTATCAAACAGATAAGATGAAAAGTGTGCAGAAATGCAATAAAACGATCCAAATATGAACCGTAAAGTAGTTCTACCTGCAGGTTATCAGATGAAAATGTACACCAGCTTCATGTGCAAAGAGGAAATAAAGTATAATCCCATGTTGGGATTATCTGCTGGGCGTGGGAATGAAGGAGGTCTTGAGTCGGGTTGCCCTGCGGTTTACATTCCCGTGCCTCCAGTCTGAAGGTAAACGTCCATGCTGGGATGGTGGGGTCTGTGATGACGACTTATGCTCTGCACAGAGGGCTGTGGAGTCCTGCTAATCCTTAGATTTCTCTATAAATCAGTTTTATTGTATAATCCTGGATGTTAAAGATCCGACTCGTTTATGTATGGAAGCCCTCAAACACATTTATCGTCAGCAGATCTCTTAGTTTGGCTCCATCTACTGTACGTTTGTCACTGCCACTCTTCACCTCGCTGCAGCCTGTTTGCTTCATTTTAGGTTAAAACATTTACATTTGATCTGTGAGTCGTCATCAGAGAGCCTTTAGCATCATCAGATCTTCGAGTAAAGGCATTTCTCTGCATAGATTCATACGTTCAGCCTCAGATGGTGCAGCGATTACAGCCGCAGCCCCACATGAGCCTGGCATGCTGCAGCAGAAACAGGAAGAGCATCCCTGAGAACCAGTAAATGTTACCAGCATGTGGAAAATGACAGATTAGCTCAGAAATCTGATGTGTGCTCCAGCTGTTAGACTCTGGCTTGCATCCAGATGAGAGAATGGGACTAAAGCGTTGAGGATTCATCAGCCAGATTAATCTAAAATGATGTTTTCTTAATGGTTTCTTATTTCTCTAATGGAGGATTAATGGGGGGATTTGTGGGTGGAGAGATTCAAATCGGTGTAAATCTCCTGTTTGGTGTCTGATGCTTTGCTTCCTCGCTGCCACACGGTGTGGAGTTGATGTCCAGCCATCTTCTCTGGCTCCTTGAACAGCAAAGTCGTCCTCTGTCAGCATGCAGGGCTCACAGCTTTCTATGACAGCCATGTGTTTAGTGTCTGAGCAGAGCCACGAGTGGGCCAGAGGAGAAGACCAGCAGGCCCAACTAAAATATTCTCACCTAATTTAACATTTCTGTCCTTAAGGTCACGATTTTCTCTTCAGCTTTTTCTAAATGAGCTGCTCAGCATGAGGCTCCAGGTGTTCTGAAGAGGTGGAAAGGTGACGTGGGTGGAAAACGCACTCTGAGCTGCTGCTGCTGTTCCCCTCTCAGGGTGTCTGCCGGTTGGTGTTCCTCTCAAGTGGAGCCAGTAATTACAGGCTGGCTGCGTTCTGCCTGAGAGGGGAGGGATGTTGATGAAGAGGAGACCTGCTGACAGGGCGAGGAGATGAACACCTTTTTCACACTCTTTATTTGATTTTTACAGGAATGTAAAAGTTTGGGTAGAAGGAAAGCTGAACTTTCAAACAGAGGCCTACTGCCTGTGTTACATTCATGCAAAGGCGTCCAAATCTATCAAGACGAGGGCCGAAATCAAAAAGTTGAAAGTCCTTGTGGATCACAATTTTTTTTTTCTATTTAAAGGTGCAATAAGTAAGATTTCTACAACGATATAATCATGTCACAGTCATGTCAGACAGAAGGTTACAGATTTCCTTCTCAGCCGCCTGGTTGTCCGCTTTTCTCCCCTCAAAATGACCAAAGAGAGAGAATCTGTCCCACCTCCATACTTCCTGGTTCCTGAGCCAATCATATCTGAGCCCACGGGGTTGGCGAGTCTGCGCCGAGTTAACTGCGCTGCATCGGCATCTGTAATTTAACACTGGCTGGTAAAAAGCTCCAGAGTAAAGAGAGCGACCCAGAAGTTATTTCTTGAAAGAAGGCTAGAAGCTAATGTTGAGTAAACAATAGTAAAACTGAATCGATGAAGGCAAATTCCACTTGGACAGAGAAAACAGTCACCCCCTCAGAGTTGTCATGAGTGTAAAACTAGATCTTTTAAACCTGGAATGGTTTTGGTACCAGGCTGTAAACATGTTTATTTCTGCTGTGAAATCTGGCTCCTTTAGCGGGAGCACGGCCATGCTCGGCTCTAAAAACACCTCAAGCTGCTTTAGCAATCAGCAGCAACTTGATGTTACACTGAAATGTATTTATCTTACCAACGTACTGGGTCTGACCCGTCTCCACTCGTCATCTAGCATCCTCGGGACGGGCGCTGGTCCGTAACTGGCAACAGCTGCTCAGAGTGGGCTCGCTTGTTCTGACATATGGACTACCAGCTTTGACCACAGGATGTCATTCTTACTTCATGCATCTTTAAATAAACTTTTTCCACTCATACTTTTCAAAATTGGTCTAAAATAGGCATTTTAATAAAAACCTGAACATAAAAATATGCGGTCCAAGATGGCTCCTGGGGCCACAAGCGGCCCCTGGGCTGAACGTTAGACAAGCCTGGTCTAACGTGATCAACACTACACCTCTCACTGTGAGAGGAAACCAAGACGGCTCTGTTGAGTCTGTAAATTGTTGCATGAAGTCATTTATTTGAGAAATCCTATTTCCTGAGTTCCAGTTAAAAACAGACGTGGACATGAGGCCAGCACAAACCAGCGGAAGGAGATGTGAAACGCACAGAGAAATGCAGCAGATCAACATTCATGCTATTTTAGGTGAAAACATCAGGTTTCTGGTTGTTTTGGAACGCAGTAAAGACCCCCTTGAGGCAGCGACTAGCCTGAGTTGTCAAGACAACCATGAATTCTGCATAAGCTGCAGAGAAATCCGCGCTTTCTTCTGCCCTTCTTTAGTTATGCTGGTTTATGTGGAACACTAGGAAACTCGGTGCACGTCGGATTAGGAAGCATCTGGTGGCCAATAGCAGAGTCCCTGAGAGAGTTAAATAAATCACAAACATAAAGGAGACCGGTGACTGGATTAGCTAAAGTGTTCTTCGTAAGCAAAACAAACTTCAGAACTGGCCCTGACTAAAACTGTCTCAAGAGTTTAAAGAGCAAGTCACCCCCAAACCAACTTTATTTCCTGATAAACTATATAAATGTGTGTCTAATCGTGCTGCAGACACGTGTAGTCAATAGCACTTTAGTGCATTTTAGTAAAAATTTAAATGTTCTGCCTAAAACTCAGTGTTGTGCCGTTGTCAGGTAAAAACTCTGCATTTGAATTTAAATCTGCCATCGCTGTTGGCTAAGAGGTACCCTAGAACATCAGCTGGTACCATATGATGTCACAATGTCGTTGTCAGCCTGTGCGTGTGTATTTGTTAGCGG